GCAAATCTGCACCTATCAAGCTCGGAGCGTGAGTGGAAACTTACCAAGCCGCTGACCATGATCTTGCTCTCTGTTGCGACCTGGTGTCCAACCTGAGCCCCCTTTGCAACAGGTTTGGCGGGCCTTGCATTCTTCTTCACTCCTCCAACTGGAACGGCAGCACTGCCAGGCTTTGAAGCGGCAGGACGGCGAGTGCGACGACGAGCATTTTGACGACGGTTGACGAGGATCTCGTCGAGAGACTTGTCCAGCTTGGCAGACATTGTTGTTGAGCTCGAATGAATGATCAGAATTGGAGAGTGAGAGGTTCAGGAGATTCACGGATTTGCGACCGTGACAGATGATGCACCACCTAGGTGGTTCGAGGCTTTAACAAAGGGGCAGGAGAATAGGCTCAAAAGCTGGGAATTGTCGCTATTGAGCTTGGAGTATTAATTGCTGATACAATTATGGATGTACGTGATTAAGGAGAAGACACGTTGATGGAGGAGGTGATGCAAGACGATGGATGGTTGAGATTGATGGACGACAGGAAGTTACGCAAGGGCGGTAGGGAAGGAGGCTGTGTCTGGTTTGGCGCTAGGCCGCATATGGACGCGGGACGTTGGTGCCTTAGACATCAGGATTTTGAACTGAAACATTCATCATCATTAAGGTATTGCCAATCACTAATTCTCGAAAAGACTCCGTCGACGTCTATTCCAAGCACTTGAATGCAGTGTTATAGTGGCTAAAAATAACATGATGTCTCGAAATCCGTTGGGAGATCAATTATGGGACTCATTCACCACTTATTTCGAGTTGAACTACCACAATATATAGAATCATACTCACGAGCAAAATAGAATCGTATAACCGAGTCAGTTGCTACCCTAGGCCCAGCCCAGCCTTGACACATTGCAATAAGAAAAAAGTCCCCAATGACAAACGCCGAACGCTCGCTCTACCCGGAGGCCTGTACATAACGCACAACTACATCAAAAATAGAGTACTCCTTGTGTTGGAATCAACACACTCCCTGGAGCATCAGCCCGAAGTGGCCAACCCCTAGATAATCAGCTTTTCAGAGCTTCCAATCGACCCCTCATCTGTTCCAGGGCGGCTTCTTGATCTTCCATCTGTTCCTCAATAGCCGGCTCTCCTTCTGCCGGTTCTTCGGCTTTGACGTCTCCGGCCTGGGAAAGCTTGCCCTGCAGGATCTCCTGTAAGACCTTGTCGACCTCCGCCTCAGCTTCATATTCTTCGTCTTCATAGAGCTCATTGTTGGGTATCGCGTCGTCCACCATCTCCTCAATGATACCAGCGCGCACCAGTTCCGTCGCCAGCTGCCGCATGGTTCCTGTCAATTCAGGCAGCCGGACCAATGTATTGACGTCCTTCATAATTCCAGTCGACTTCTTCAGACTGCCTTGAATCTTACGCATCGAAAACGCCTCGTTCACTTGCATCTGGACACTTTGAAGCTGGGCTCGGCTTGTAGTCAGACGAGCGGACTGTTTGCGGATCCGAACGAGTTCCCGTGCGAAGGTCTTTGTTTCAACAGTCGCCTGTTTTGCTTGCGAAGGATTTCGCTGAGCCCTGCGCGACGCATTCACGATGTATTGCCGTGTCTTGCTTTCCAGAGTCCTCAACTGGGCAATGTCGCGGTCTAATTGACGGGTATTGGCACGTATGAGTTGGTTGCATTTCCTCATCTGCAAATTGGAAAGTCAAATCAGCACACATCGGTAGCTAGTAGTCATCAAAAATCGTACTTGCGCTTGGGGATCTGGACCGAAGAACACTGCCTTAAGAGTCTCCATGGTGAAGAGGCTCCCTGTGCCGTTTTCCTGGATTATGCCCCTGAAATATTCTGTTCTTGAGGACTGAATATATGTGAATTTACAGAATATAAGCGAGAGTTCACGACTTCGTGAGCGCCCAAGACGAAGTTGTCGCAAAAGGCATCAAGATAGGTTCGAGAACTTGATCGTCACTGTAAGTGGGGTATGGATCCGGCAGGGCGTTGGAACGGGCTGCGCAAGGCGAATTCAGATGATAAGATAACAGGCTGCGAATGTCACGACGCCAAGAAGAATGATATGGTAACTGAACTAATAAAAGTTGTGACTTGAAGATTGTATATCGGGAATACCTTTGACCAAGATCGGTGTCACTCTCGTCAACAGTGAGGAATCCGGCACCAGCTTCCCCATGTGATTAGTCAGCAACTCAGACCATTCAAATTCCAAATTGGTCGAGAATGGAGCCTCAGGCACACAGGAGACCGCAAACAGAGCAAACAGCAGGCGGCTGCCATAAGACAGTTCCAGTACTTTCTAGCACCACGTCTGGAGGGACAAGCTGCGCTAACCTCAGCTGGACTCCATCACCAGCCTTTCTAGCCCCAAGTCTTTCTACCTATTGTCTGCTCTATCTTCACTTTCCTCTCAGCTCTAGATCTGCACATCTGTTCCTGTCATCTTCTTTACTATCTCTCTTCCTAGTATCCTATCTAACGCGGATCAAAATGTCTCAACTCACTCCTGAAGGTACGTTAGCTTGTGGTCATTCCGTTCCACCTTTCCCCGCCTCGGCGTGTGTTGCTGGTCTTTGCGTCTCAATTGCAACTCAGACACTTGAGCCTCAATGCATATGTATCTGCCGCACACTGAAGACGCTCGGGCTATTACTTCGCCCTTGAGGTGGTAAGCAGTGCTGACGAACTCCTGTGCAGTTACATGGGCCCAGCGCTCGTCCAGCTCAGATCCCGAGCGCAACTACCTCTACGTCAACATCAAGACCCCCGATGTCGCGAAGTCGGCCGCGGATCTCAAGATCACCGCTACCAATGTCTCATTCACCGGAGAAACCAACAAGGGCGTAAAATACCACGTCTCTCTCGACTTATACGCCGAGATCGACCCCGAAAACAGCAAGGTCAACCACACTGACCGCGAGGTCGAGCTGGTATTGCGGAAGAAGGAGCTAAAGGAGGAGTACTGGCCCCGTCTGGTGAAGGACAAACAGAAGCTCCACTTCTTGAAGACGGATTTCGACAAGGTATGGCATTAACGACTGAATATTGGCGGAAGAGGACACCTACTAACAATTGCTAGTGGGTTGACGAGGATGAGCAAGACGAGGCCGGCGACGATGACTACGCAAACAACTTTGGTGGATTCGAGGGTCTTGACCAGGGCGGTCTTGGAAACATTGATTTCTCCAAGCTCGGTGCCAACCTTGGAGGGGGTGCCGAGGGTGCTGAGGGCCTCGAAGGTGCTGAGGGCGAAGAATCGGTAAGTCGATCTGAACCGTACGCATCGCATTTGCTAATATCTTATTAGGATGACGAAATGCCCGAGCTCGAGGGTGACAGCAAGACCGAGGGAGAGGCCAAGTCCTCTAAGATCCAGGAAGTCTCTTAAAATATGATGGAGAGGAGCTTGATGATGATCTGTGAAAGCTGAATGCTGAAACACCTATTATGAAAAAAAAATCGCTCTGCCATGAATGAGCTTACTCATTTTCGACTATAAAAAGAGGCTGTACGAGTCTTGAGTATACCGTTGGCGACTGATCGGTGAGGCCTGAGATGCATAATCTGTGGACGATAATGTCTCAGGACATGCCGCAAGTCTGAATGATATAATGAGATACGCTTCGCGCTATTGGATTATTCCGCCCGATAAGTTGAGGTACTCTACCAGCCAGTTCTGCCACAACTATGCCCAAGCATAAATTCGTCGTAGTATGTTAGAAGTAACACTATTGGCTTTGCGGCGCATCAAACGAGTCATGACGTCCTAGAGCCTCGGAGATACCTCGATTTCCAGGCCACTTGCTGAGGTCGTAGATATCTTAATCATGGTGCTGACAGACGTTTTTGGCCACCTTCTATTACTGTGGTAATCCCAGTCTGTTGATCAGCCAGCTGCCAGCTTGATGGCAGGAACTTCTAGGGACTCCCTTATGCAGCTATCACACTGTTTTCATTAAGCTAGTGTAAGTTATAATAGCAAAGAAGACCAGCCAACAGACAGCTTCACTGGGAACTATTCTCTGCTTATAGGAAAAGCTGCCACTAATAGCAGGGAACACATGCAGAAAAGGCATCAGTGGAACCTAACCTTAGAGATTAGTTTCTACCAGCTGTCACTCTAAAGGCTCCATAGCCATACTTAAGGCCCCATCTGGAGTTAACTTTCTTGCTAGTGTGAGGCACAGGAGATTTTCAGCTGTGGCATTATCTGTATTTAACCACATGGCCAGCAGCATGCATATTTCCTTACATTCCTTCTAGATACTATTGATCATCTGCCATCTCACATCTAACCCCAGTCAGCCCCTGACCAGCTATTATTCACCAAATATGCTACCCACACCTCATTAAAAGTATGTGCAGTTGAGAGAGGAAATATGTAGTTAGCCCACTGCCAGACCCAGAATCAGAGGGCTAACCCCAAAACTTGGAATAATCATTCAACACGCCATAAGAATTCTAGGAAAGGGAAGCCATGGTTGCCAGAGGAAGAGGAACTCTTAGTGGAGTTAAGAAGGAATTAGGGGCTTCCTTGGTTAACTATGACAAGATTGTTCTTGGATCAATATCGGGGAAGAAGTCAAGGTTCTATTCAGGTATATTGGAGTACGACCTCAAGAGGAAGGTGGATTGACGCTTCGCGGGAATGATGATATTATATTAGTATTTGGAACGGTTTACACCCCAGGGGAATGAGTTATAACAAGTAGTCCTATTATCTTATCCACCACTGATTCAATCGACGCTAGACCTTTAGGCTTGCGTACAACTAGCTGCTACCCCTTCATAAACCAGCCATGTCGACGCTTGCACCCGCACACTGTATTGCGAACAAGCCAGATCTACATCTCGGGTTTCTTTCTTTAGTAATATGAAATACTATGAACTCTGCCCACAGAGAAAGTGTTTCTTGAATGAGAGACCTAGGGAGAATTTTGTTGATGCCTTCTTGTAAGGGTGTACTATTCATTTGGGCTTTCTAAACTGCGTCCTCTTCTACCCTCTTCTTCAGCGCTAGGAAGTCCGCCTCCTTTTTATCAATCTCCTCTTTCATTGCCGCCCATTCCACATTATACTGATTTAGCTGCTCCATCTTGCTGTTCACGAACAGTTCAACTGCAGGGCCGGAAACTGTCGCGAGCTCATCAATGGAAGGTAGAAGCTGTCGGATAGCGGTCCAAGCCCGGCTGTCGGGCGATTCGAAGCAAGAGTATATTAACTCATGAAACCAGAATTTTCCGTCCTTCATGGATTCGTGCATGAGAGCCGCCATACTGGGCATTGAGAGACCTTCTGCTCTTTTTTGCTCCTCCGCCTCCAGTACGTTAACGAACATCTTAAGAAGCGAATTGTACTTAGAAATATCCACATCATCCCAATCCAACGGCTTCTTCAGAAGTAGCCACCGCGGGGGTGAGTAAAGCATCTGAAATGGCGCTGCATAAGCCCATTCCCAGTCGAGGACTGCGACTATCTTCAGATCCTGTGCGTTGTTGACGAGTATATTTCCAAGCCGGAAATCGTCGCAAATTAACTTGAACGGACCATAGTCATACTTGCTGTCAACGAAATGGGGTCCAATGGCTTTAAATATCTTATTATGGAGATACTTGCGACGAGCATCTTCCATATCATCGACTGAATTAGGTTGGCCCCACAGATGCTGCATGTCTTGTTCGGCAACATCCCGAAAATAGCTGGTGGTTGAAGAGAATGTCTTGGAAATATGGCCTAATGGTAGGCAATGTTAGCTGGCAGTCGTTTGATGATTAACTGCAGGGGATACACACCACCAACACGAACGCCCCCGTGGCTCTTTATTTCATTCATCTTCAGCGTCAAAGGCCTCGAATAGATGCCGCTGCCGAAATCTGTATTTCTGGAAAGCGAACCTATACGCGGAAAATTATGTGCTGAAAGCTCCAACAGAATATTCGCAATTTGGCGGTATATAGTTTTCAGTTCTTCATCACTGATGTCCAGCCGTAGGGCGTGAGCTTCTTCCGGGCCAGTACCTTGCCGTAAGATTGTGTCTAAAGGTTCCCCCTCAATATATTCCATGATGATGAACGGCCCCAGGCCTAGCGGATTCTCATGACCGAGGCCCCATGCAATAACAGATGGTACAGGGATGTTTGTCTTCTCTTTGACAAACTGCATTGTGGCAGCTTCATGCCTGATCTTTTCATCACCATCCATTACTCTGCCAGACACTGCAAACCGTACCATCCATTGTATACCATCAGTGAATTTTACTCTGCAGCTCCAATTGAAGGACCCGCTGTGATCACCGACAACCTCTGAAGGCTGATTATTTCGAAAAGTTGAAACCCAGGTCGCGATAGGAGGCCCACGAGTGCTATTAAATCGTCTGGCCCAAGAAAGAGACTCAGCATAGTGAGAAGCCTCGGCGCGTTCGTCCCAGTCCATGCCGGGAATCGATTGGAAGAGCCATGGATGTGACCTGATTTAAGTTAAGCACAAATAGGTAGTAGATGGATGAGTAGCAAGAAGGGATAACAAGCTCCCATTTATTTAGGCAATTTTGGGCGTAAACATGTCACATGGCATACAAGTCGGGTTCCGTACTCCGTACAGGGCAGCATGCTCCACTAATCTGAAGAGGCCTAATCGGAAACCTTAGCACCCAGGATTTTTGTATTATTCCCCACATCAGCTCTTCTTTTAGTTAATGGAGACCCGGGTAGCCGGCGAGGATATTATTCATTGCTCTATTGTCAGCAGGGAAAGCACTCAAGCTATCGACAGGTTGGTCTGTGTGTATGCTAGATTATCTTTGGTCAATGCCTACTATGCATGTGCCCATTGTTTGAGCAGTTTGCAAGTCACCCTTGACCTTGGCTTGAAAGACACCAAACCTCCTTCCTTTGTCCACAATTCCTTGTCACAAGACTTCCTTTGAGCAAATCTCCAAAATGCTGACGAGCATGTGGAATCACAGTTTTGCCTTTTTCTCAGTTCTGCGATATCATCTGTATCATCTCATTCTCTTCAAAGTGCCTTCGCTCTTTAAAGTTCGTCTCCCAGATCTTGAGAAGCCAGATGATGTTGAGTGCTGTAGGGGCTCCGTCAATGGGAAACAACCTCCAGGTACGACGGATGATACATACACAACGTCAATACCAGCATGCGCAGGTGACATAAACGTTGAGAAAGAGGACCCTGTCCCGTACGAGCCTCTTCTTGGCGAAGTCTTGGGCGAAGGCTCAACTTCCCGTATTGCACGCGTGGCACCAGGCATCATCATCAAATGTCCACGATTCTCTTGGTGGCACTCTAAGACAGCGGCGGATAAATGGTTCGTTCGAGACATGAAGCGGAGTTTCGAGGTGGAAAAACGACTTCTGCAAATTCTAGGACTGCATCCAAGAATAATAGAGTCCGTTGGCCCCTGACTTCTTGTGGTCAGTGATTGACTTCGTTCTAGGTTCAAGGGCGTCTCCGATGACCCGTTTGGATTGTTATTTGCCGAAGCAAGTGATGGAAATCTACAGAGCTACATTGACCAACACCATGCTAGCATCGATATGTCTCTACGATTCAAATGGCGGACTCAAGCCGCGGAGGCGGTCCAATTCATTCATCAAAAAGGTGTGATACACTCTGACCTTCGACCTGAGAACTTTCTGTTACATAGTGTCGCCGGAAACAAGCTCGATCTTCTGCTCTGTGACTTTGGAGGGTCAACAAATGGAGAAATTGATGGTCGGCATCTCCCCGACGCCGGATTTTTTAACCCTTGCAATCCCCCGGAGTCGACGAAAGCCACGGATATTTTCAGCCTCGGGTCCATCTATTATACGATAATGACTGGCCATTGGCCCTACAGGTCTCCAGGTCCGTTCAAGTCTCTGGAAGAGATGGAGAAATACCAAGAGTTGGTTGACGATCTGTTCGCCTCCAAAAGGTATCCGCCAGTTGACGAACTGGCAGCTGGAACTGTGATACAACGATGCTGGACAGGAGAATACTCTGATTTGCGCGCACTCATTGAAGACCAGTATTGGCAGCTCCCGAAAGATAAAAGAATAATATGCGATCCTGCTTCTGGTGATCTGTAGATTTGAACTAAGAGATTGGAAGTTCAACGGGTTTTGTAGTCTGAGGAAAGGGGCCACGGTAAACGAGTTGGCGCCCTCGTGGCCTGGCCGGAGCCCAGGCCCATCTGAAGGGATGAAGTGAAGCCATTTTCGGCTCCCTCATACAGCTTCTGGTTGGAGGGACGGTGCTGAAAGTCTGACGCTTGAAGTCGATGAAACACCCACGATGGTGGGGCGCTGAGGGCGAGTTTGACTGGTGCGTGGTGGTAGCGAGGATGGGAGCGTGTTGGAAGGGTGAAGTCACGTGTTACCAAATGGCGGCCGAAAAAGGCGTCGATGCGGCCGAAAATGGCATATGTTTGGTAAGTCCAAATTGTCAAGGAGTAACGCCTCTGGCAAGACCAGAATTCAAAAATTGTTCCGAGTCGGTCGAGTCGAGGTTTGGTCGACCGCATTCTGGGCGTCGAAACTCATTGGCGGAGAGAAGCCTTTCGAAGGTTGTGCCGCCACATTCTCTGGAAACCCACATCCTCTCTTGAAAATGTGGAGGGACTCGCAACCAAGATCTTCCTAGTTCACCAACTCTCACGATCGTTGCACACGCTGCATTTGAGGTGTCAACCAACTTTCGTCTGTTTGTCAAGACACTTGGATTGACCCTCTTCTTCTCTGTCATTATAAATATTCCGTCGATTTAGCTCGTCAGCCTTGATTGACTGCGAACGAGCCCGGCGCCACCGCCAGATTCGGCGTGAAATTATTTCTCTTTTAATAGACGTTTTGCAGATTAGAAAATCACAAGGACATAGCCAAAATGCCGCCCAAGAAGCCTGAGCCGGCGAAGAAGAAGAAGACCTCGGTCGAGGACAAGGTTCGTGCTGACGCTGAATGATGAACCGTTTTGGACTTGATTTACTGACTCTTTTCTTGAACAGACCTTTGGTATGAAAAACGTACGTTACGGACTTTCGAGACGATATCATCCTGTTATCATTGAATACCCAGCTGACCTGATATTCTACAGAAAAAAGGTGGTTCCGCGAAGAGGCAGATTGCACAGCTCCAAGCCCAAGCAGCACACAACAAGACCGCCGAAGCCAAGAAGAAGGAGGCTGAGAAGGCCCGTCGTGAAGCCGAGAAGAAGGCCGCCGAGGCCGCAAAGAAGGAAACACTAGAATTGTTCAAGCCCGTGCAGGTTCAGAAGGTTCCTTTCGGTGTCGACCCGAAGACCGTCCTGTGTGTCTTCTACAAGCAGGGCAACTGTGAAAAGGGAAAGAAGTGCAAGTTCAGTCACGATCTGAACATTGAGCGGAAAGCGGCCAAGAAGGATCTCTACACCGATTCGCGAGATGAGAAGACCGCGGAGGAGGAAGAGAAGAAGGGCGACACGATGGACCAGTGGGACGAAGAGAAACTTCGCAAAGTTGTTCTCAGCAAGCACGGCAATCCTCGGACGACTACCGAGAAGGTCTGCAAGTTCTTCATTGAGGCGGTCGAGAACCAGAAGTACGGTTGGTTCTGGGTTTGTCCTAATGGAGGCGACAAGTGCATGTACAAACACAGCTTGCCACCTGGGTATGTTTCATTGCATGTTTTCCAGCATTGTAGGATGAAAGCTAACATGGTTATCTAGATTCGTATTGAAGACGAAGGAGCAAAGAGCTGCTGAGAAGGCTATGATGGACAAGTCTCCATTGAACACGCTTACCCTGGAGGACTGGCTCGAATCAGAACGTCATAAGCTTACCGGCAACTTGACACCGGTGACACCTGAGACCTTCGCCAAGTGGAAGAAGGAGCGTCTGGATAAGAAGGCTGCAGAGGAACAGGCCCGCAAGGCCAAGGAGGCCACAGGCCGTGCTCTGTTCGAGAGCGGCAACTGGCGTGCGGAGGAGGAGAGCGACGAGGAGGACGAAGACGACGAAACCTTCAACCTTGAAGCCCTACGGCGGGAGACCGAACGGATGTGGGAAAGGAAAGAAGAGGAACGTCTCGCCCGGCTGGCCGGTATTTCGGTCACGCCATCTTCGAACGACGAGACCGTTGCCCAAGAGGGCGAAGGCTGAGTCGATGCGACTCACCCAAGATTCTAACAACTTGGGCTTTCGAATTCGGGCATGGCACCTCCCACACTGGAACCGGCGTTCCAGGCGGATGTCCGGGCCCGTGATGGTGATCGTGTTGATAACCAGGACTGAGATATCTGCCGGGTGGGCGTTGACGCTTTATCCTCTGTCGTTTGCATACGTGCTCCTGTGCAGCACAGGGTTTTGGGACCGATGTCCCAATGCGTGTTTGGAAGGGCAGAGGCAGAAGGCGACACATGATCGACGCAATCATGTGTGACGTGGATGCAGAAAACAGAGGCTGGCATTCTGTATGCCGTTTTTGTACGTAGAAAATGATTTTGACTAGATTTAGCGCTACATGTCAATGCTTGCATCAACCGCTCTAAGATTCCCATCAGTCAAGGTAATGGAGTCGATCAGCGACTCGCGGGGGCTCTAGAACGAGTATTTGTATTGATTTCAAATGTCTACAACGACGCCTTCTGCCGCGCCAACCCGTTCTCAAACATCAACTGCACAACATCCTGCGCAACCCCCCACGATAACTCGAACCCCCGTCCCCCAGCCCCATAGGCATGCACAATGAAGCGATCACCTCCCACTCTCTCCGCCTCAATCCTCATTCCCCCCTCCCTCGCCGGCCTCCGTCCGACAATATCACGGATGACATCGAACTGACCCCCACTCTCCTTCGCAAAGGGGAACCATTTCGCCGCGTTGGAGAGAAGCTGCTTCCTCGTATCAAGCGAGGGCGTCGGATTCCAGTCGTGCGGTTGCTTGGTACCGCCGATGATTGTCCCACCGCTCAGAGGCCGGGGAATGCAGAACGACCAGGTGCCGTCTGAGTTTTGGCGGGTGATGGTCACCTTGCAGGGGTTGCGGACAAGACACGTTTGCCCTGGTAGCCTTTATCAGCAGCTGTATCGGAAACGCGAAGATCTGGGGCTCGGCTCATACCTCGGATAATGAATGATTTGGGATCCCCGAATCCCAGTCCGGAGCAGTTGACGACCGTCCTGACGGTCCCCGTCCCCGTCCGGGGCAGCTCGAACGCCTCCATCGGATCGACGAGCGTGTACTCTCTCGTCTGGCCGCCGTTGAGGACGAACTTGCGAAGCAGATAGGCGCAGTAGACTGGCGAGTTCACGACGTAGGTGCGGTAGCGCACGGCCCATTTCACCTCGAGGGGAGTCTCATCCTGCGTCAGGCGGCGGAAGCCGTCGAGATGCGCGTACGCGTTCTGGATGCTGGCTTCGTGCAGGTACTCTGCGGGCGGAGATTCGAGGTGTTCCTCGCCGTCGAGCAGTTGGACTCCTGATGAGGGGTCCTCGGTGGCGAGGTGCTTGAAGTATTGATATGTGCGGCGTGCTTGGCTGTCTTCTCGTGCGGCTTGCGGCGAGGACCCTGGGACGGGGCGGTAGTGCGCGCCGGCCCAGGGCGAAGCATAATTGAGCGAGGTGGTGTTGGGGAAGTCTCTGGCGACGAGGAGGATGTTTTGAGAGGGGTGGAGGTGTTGTTGGATGTGCAGGGCTGTGGTGAGGCCGATTACGCCCGCGCTGGAATGAGTCAGTGTTATATATTCGGGTTATTGTGCACTGTTGGATTTGAGGGCAACCGACGTACCCGATGACTACTACAGTTTCGTTATTCATTTTGCGATACACGTTGTACTCGATCCGACGCAAGGTTCCTTGGTCTTCATGAGACCTTTGGACTGTGCTCTTGCATTGTGAGATGGAGATCGATAAGCGGATCCCCGCATGTTGGGGTCACCGAACTAGTGCCGTAATCGGAGAAGTGACGTTGGAGTCTCCGATCGTGGTCCGGTGGTATGAGGTATCCAACTTTGTTGTGTTATTATTCCCTTCAGATCTGTCAGTTGTCTACAATTCTATGTATAAGAGCAGCTGAGGCTAAACCATGCTTGCTTTTAAACTGTCGGAACTTTTGAGATGACAGTTCAACCGTCTCTTTGACCCCGCCAAATCTTATCGCTCCAGTGATTACTAGAAAAGCCACAATGGATCGGATCACAATCACATACGAGCAGAGGCTGGGATTCCTATCACACCATCCTGGCTGGATATTGATTTCGAAGCTGCATATTTGGTCGCGAGCTCGTCGGGCATCTCCGCAGTGGCTATGATCATATCACCTTGCATCGTATGAATTGGCCAAATTTGGTATACCTGGTGAGTTCAGAGGTTCAAGGTTTACCTCGTATCTACTATTTGAAATACTGTTGCAGCCTGTCCTTCCTCTCTAGTTAGGCGTAGGCGCACCATAGATAAGTACGTACTTCGGCCCACTACTCGAAGGAATCAGTTCCCGCGATCATGCCGACTCCTTTGCTTTCCCAGATCTTCTGCTTCGAGCACCTGAGGTAGCTACAAATCGAGAGACGATCCTTGGGCCATTTGAAGCATCCAGTTATCTTCTTGAACCTGCTCAAATACGCGCCCAGCTGGTCACGGGAGCAGGACGACAGGGCCGTTGTGGGCTGTGATTGGCTGGGCCGGGTGATGAGACCTGCAGTGTGAAGAAACGCCTTCTGCATTGCTGCCAGCCAATCAGCGTCCGTTCTGGGGGTTCCTGGCAGCATCATCGTAGGGCCGTCCAGAAGAAGAATTCCTGTTGACATCTGACAATACCTACGGATAATTCGTCCTAACCCCGCCTTGAGAAGGTGGAACACTGTCACAGGATTGTTTGATCACTGGCTTAGGTTGCTTCTACTGTAGGCGTGCTCTTGACCTGTCTCTCATGGGAAATTAACAGCGATACTTCCCTTCCCCTAGAGAGATAATGGCAACAATAGAAGACGATGATCATGCCAGCGGGATATCTTCTAAAAATTGGCTATTCTTGTTTAATCTCCATGTTAGCTCCAAACTTTCCCGGCTGCAAAGCATCCTATGATCGTGCTATGCCCAGGTCTCACTGGAGTCACTACCGCTAGGAGCTGCAACATCTCGCACATTTCTCCCGTCCGGCCATGCCCGCTATGCGTTTGATCGACTTTTAATTCCTTCCACTGCCTTAGTCTAACCTGTTAGCGCTGATTCCTCTCCTCTCCAAATCCCACTCGTCTGCCTGGCTGTCCGTCCGCCCTCTGTGTGCTGTGGCTGTACCGCTGTATGGCTGTCAGATATCTTGCTAGTGTGCTGTACTGCTTTAGCGCTGGAGAGGTATCAAGTGCAATCAACATGTCACTGGATACACTCTCTTTCCCTCATTTATGCTCGTCCGCTAATGAAGTCATGAAATCGCTGTCTCCTCTCCCCGATCCAGACCAAGCGCCATGAACCTCCCTTGGCGCGAGCTGCCATTGCTTGGTGGCTGGTGAGTTCGATCATTGACTAAGGTAATCTAGTGCCGCCTTCCAA